CTTTGAGCCCTTTGTGTTTATCATCCTCATCCTCATGGTATCAACCTCATCCTCATGGTATCAACCTCATCCTCATGGTATCACTGTAAAATATGATGCTGGGTCTCACTGAGTTGGGCGTAGGGGCAAGCTGTGACTACTCATTCAGCAGGGTTCCTGTTCCCTGCTCAGGCCAGGGAGGACATCCCCTCATGAAACCAGGGTGCTCCACAATTTGGTACCTTCTAGAGGAGTGACATTAGGTGAGAGTTTGGCAAGAGAGGGAACCAAAGAGAAAAGGATCAACTCTGGGGGATAAGTGTACTTCTGATTCTTATGAGCAGACAGGCCACATAGAGTGGATAAGAGACAGTAAGGAAGTCCTATGAACATGGGGGGAACTGATGTTTCGGCCAGGCTTTCCATTAGGGACACCTACCATGAGGCTTTCCAAGGGTCTCGATTAATAGTTAAAACCCCCAAAAAACTATTCTTAAAATTACAGAGCTTTGGAAAACACTGTGACAAAAGAAAGTGTTTGGTTGTTTAAGTGGTATTCTCCTCTTTTGGAGAACATCACAGTCACACAAACTGTCATTTCCTGGGGCAGGTTAAATGCCATCCCTTCAGGGACATGACTGTGTCCCTTTGTCTCCACAGCTGAGCACCATATTGCTCAGTTGATATCAAAAATAATGTTTTAAAGGAAACATGACTTAATACTCAGCTCGACAGGAGGAAAACACACGGCCATGGACAGTGAATCACTCATTAAAAATTAAATCAATCCGCCCACAACAGGAAACAGCATAAGAGAATGTCAGTGCTGGCTTCATATTGGAAGGAAGCCAAAATAGGTTTGTGAACTAGAAATTCCTGGGACCGATGGTGTGTGTTGGGAATCTCTAACATCTCAATGATATACATTTTCCAATCTGACCTCTGCTAAACACCCAAAGGGTGGTGGGGCAGGGTAATACTGGGATGTCCATGATTTCTAAACACACTAACTGGCCTTTGCAGTGAACCACACACACGAGTGAAATAAGCCACCTTATGGCTCCAAGAATGATTCTGTAGAATGGATCTCAGAACAGTGAGGAGACACCCTCTTGTTCTGCATCTCTGGAGATGACACCCAGAGGCTTCTGTACACTAGGCAAATGCTTGGCCACCAAGCTACAGCCAAGGTTCACTTTGTAAAGTCAAAGTTCACAGCACCCCGGTGTTTGTCTTATCTTCCCACCTGTGAGCAGCAGAATGGGAAGAAAACTGACTGCTTTTCAAATAAAATTTCAAATCAATTTTTTTTAGCAGATTGAGATCAAATAGAAGTGAGCAGAGCAGGGCTACAGGATGGCTGCTGTCAAAACAGAGATTATCATAACAAAGATGATAATTAACAAACCCATCCCAGTAGGGAAGGGACTAACACCAGGGCCCACAGTCATGGTTGATAGACAGCAGTCAGTCATTGTCTTTTGGGGCCTCTGTTATTATCTCAGATCAAGCCATCACAGAATTTTGTCTTAAAGAGACCTTTGTAAAAATCCTTACATAGCCCTTTGTATTTTAGTCAAGAAAGCTGTACTCAGAGGATGAAGGAACAAGTCCGAGTCATTTGGCTTTCTTGAAACTATCAAATTACCAGGTTACTTGTCTCCACTGTCTTACCATCTGTCTTTATTCAAGTCTCCTCTAAGCTGCTGCATAAAACACATACTCAGTTCTTGCTAGAGCAAGGCCCCAGACACTAGCCTTGCAAACTAAATCAGACCCAGCACCTAACACTTCTTTGTGATGTGGTGTGTGTGTGTGTGTGTGTGTGTGTGAGAGAGAGAGAGAGAGAGAGAGAGAGAGAGAGAGAGAGAGAGAGAGAGAGAGAGACAGAGACAGAGACAGAGACAGAGAGAATGTGTATGCATGCATGTGTGTGAGGGTATGGGTGGAGACCAGAAGCTGATGGTGTCAAGTGTCTCTCTCAATCACTCTCCACCTTACGTTTCTGATACAGAGCCTCACTGAACCTGGGGCTCACTGATAGACTGGCTAGCAAGTGAGGCCCAGGAATTCTCTTGACTCTGCCTCCCTGGTGCATGGATTACAGGTGTTTGCCACAGTACCCAGCTTTTTATGTGAGTGCCAAGAATCCAAACTTAAGTCTTCATGCTTGCACAACAGGCACTTTACTGACTAAATTATCTCCCCAGCCCCGACAGCACTTGTGTTTTTTTTTTTTTTTTTAGACCATATACAACTATGAGCCTGCAGGAGATACTACTGATAAACATGCGGTGAGGGAGTAGACAGACTGTGCTGGAAGGAAACCTGGCCAGGGTGTGAAAAGAGATTAGAAAACTGAATTTGGTTAGCAGATAAAATGCGGAAATCTTTGGAAACCCTGGCCAAGATCAACTTGATGGTCATGAGGTTGTTTCAAAACACAGTGATCCACCCACCAGCCATGGGCACAGCCCATAGAATGTTTTGATTTGTCAGTGTGCTCTGGGTGCTTGCACAGCTGTAAAATATTTTTCATAATGGAATTCTTCCTTTCAGCATGTATGTATGATCTTACCTTGGGTGATGGCTATGAGAGCTGACTGGTGTTTAAGCGAGAAAGGGACTCTGCCAGTTCCAGGGACACTGGAAAGGACTGGTTGATTTTCTTTAATGGATTTCAAACATCTCTGCCAAGATTGATCTATTGGTCTGCTACAGGAACTGGCACAGAGTTCATGTTCAAGGTAACATATATAGGGACTGGAGAGATGGCTCAGTGGTTAAGAGCATGTGCTGCTCTTGCAGAGTTACTGGACAGTTTCCAGCACCCATGTAAGGTGTCTCCCAACGGCCTACATAGCTACAACTATAGGGGATGCCTCTGGACCCCTTGGGTATCTGCACTCACATGCGCACACACACAGACACGACAACTATAGGGGATGCCTCTGGACCCCTTGGGTATCTGCACTCACATGCTCACACACACAGACACACACACACAGACAGACAGACACAGACAGACAGACAGACAGACACACAGACACACACACACACACACACACACA